AATACTTTTTTCTTTTTTTTCTGCTAAATATCATTGTGTTTGCTGATGGCCATTGTTACAACCAGGGGCCCCTCTCCGCTTATTTGCTGCTGAGATGCCTGCAGGTTTCATATAGAGCAGGATCTCTTTTATGGAACACCTAATGTGTACACAATGCCGTACCCTGCCTGTACTCCAAAGACACTTAAGGGCCTTTGAATCCTAGTGAATACAGATACAGATTCCTGAAGCAAGAAACAAATATATTCCAATGTCCCAAATAGTCTAATGAATACTGTTTTACCAGGGCACTTAACTACTTTCTAACATCTTCTGACGTATTCCGATCCATCTCAGTGTGATATAGATGAAAGAGCCACGGGCTTGAAACCCAACCCCACGCAGTTACATACATGGGCCTGGGCCACAGTTTCCTGAGCCTCAGTTTCCCCAACTGCGAAACAGAAAATCAAGTCCATAATTCCTTTTTTTGAAATTTTGAAATCCAGGAAACTGAAAACCATTCGCTTTTTTCCCCATCGGGCCAGCAGAAATGCATTGACCAGCAGAACCTGAGCCGGACTGGCATGAGATTTATTTAAGACCCTTAATGAGCTCATATAAGGGGACTGACTATTCATACATTCTACTGAGAAATACGAAGTCTGATAACAGGGTGCTGCCCCACTCGTCCTGGAGTTGTCACCTCGGGTGTCCTATGTGCTCCATGTTAACATTCTAAACCCAGGAGTTCTGATTCTGAAACATGTCTGGCCCCAGGGGTTTTGCATTAGGGGTGGTGGGCCTGTAACGCCCAGGACTGCCGGAGCCTGCAGGAGAATTTACAGAAGGCGCTAAGCTTCCGCCTGGGTCACCGAAGCCCGGCCACTTCACACCTTGCTGGGCAGGGTCTTTTCCCTCCAGCGTCTGTTTAAACGGAGGCAGAACAAACAGCCTGGGACCCACATTTCAGTAGCTGGAGGGGGAAGGAAATGCCTCTTTCCTCTAAACCCAGGATTCTCCCCTCACTTTCCAGGACCGGGGCAGCTCTAGCTGGAAAGCCAAACGTCGACACATAGGGAGCACTTTGAGTCTCGACGCTTGGCCTCTTGCCTCCAAAGCTACGAGCCCCTTTGTGCAGCTCTGTTGTGGAAAGAAAAGGCACAGAGAAAAACGGATCAAATGCCTGAGGAGAATCAGAAGCTTTTCTTTTACAGGGAACGAAGGGGATGTGCTATCTCCTATTACCATAGAGAGATCATTTCAAAACTGTGATAGGAAAATGCTTTTAAAACCTGGGTTTTCACCATGCTTCTATCAAGAGGGGTGGTGTTCTAAATCATGTTGCTGGTGGCGAAACAGAGACACTAAGCAGGAAAGTGACTCCAAACTTTAGATGAATGTGTTTATTGAGGACTGACTTCTAGGTGCAAAGGCTGCCACTGGACTCCTACAGCAAGCCCCCCAAAACGCCCGAGACGTGTGTTCTGTCCTCCAGGAAACTTCTGTCTGATGGTGGCCTTACTTTCAACTTAGCCGAAGGTAGAAAGTATCAGATGGTAAGCTTAAAGGGCTCATCTCTTTGCGGGTCAGAAAAAGGGCCCTGGAAGAGTGACCTTGAAGGCTGGGTGGAAGGCAGGGAGGGCAGTGGGCCCAGGGGCAGACGGAAACGCTGGACGTCCATGTGGAGCCCGGCAGACTTGGGGCATATTCAGGGGACCCCGGAAGCAACACCCAGACACTTTCACAGTCCAAGAGGTCAGAGAGGGGGTGGGGAGACTGCAAACTGGGGCAGCTCCTAATTGCCGCAGGGCAGGCCCACGGTTTCCTGAGCTTCCCTTTCTTTTCGAGAGAAGCCACAGTTGAACGTGTGAACTGTAAAAGGTACCATTGAAAGATGCAGATATTTAAGCACGACGTTGTGCAAATCCAACACACCTACAGATGCCTTCGTTTGGGCCGCGCAGTAAAAAAACACCATAGCCTGCGTGGCTTACAAACAGCAAACATTCATTTCTCACAGATCGGGAGGTTGTAAGCCCAAGATCAGGGTGCCAGCAGGGTCAGGTTCTGGTGAAGGCCTGCTTCCGGATTGCAGGCGGCTGACTTCTCTGCGTGTCCTCACACGGTGGTAAGGGCAGGGGAGTTCTCCTGGGGTCTCTTAATTTATTTTAATTTTTCTTTTATATGTATATATTTTTTATATTTGTATTTTTCTTTTATATAAATATATATGTATATATATATTTTTTCTGCAGAGCTCCTTTGTCTTCGAGTTAACCTTTGTGAAGGTGATGGGGGCACAGATCTTCCTGTGGACTAGACACCCCAGCCTGGTCTTCTTGGGTCACCTCTGTAAGAGCACTAATTCCATTCACAAGGCCCCACCTTCTGAGACCATCACCTTGGGGTTAGGATTTCAGTGTATGAACTTGGGGGAACACAAACCTTTGGTCTATAACGGCAGGCTGCGTGGCAGGGCCAGGACTCAGGTGAGGCAGGCGAGATGCCCAGGGCACACAACGAAAGGAGACCCTCACTCCCTGGGGCCAGTCCTGACCGGGAGACCCCCTTAACAGTTTGTACTCCAAGTGTCTCTCTTACCTCCTCCGGGCCCTGGCTCTGCTCTGTGGGCTCCCATTTGCATCTTAGGGTTCAAAGAGAAAAGCAGTAGACAGATTGGCAAGGGAGGCTTGGGGGGTGGAGGTGTTTGAACTTCACTTGGTGAGTACTGGGGAATTAAGAGCAGGAAGAGAGGTGGCTACAGGTGCTTTGGGAGGGCAGTGAAAAGCGGGGGCTGGCAAAGGGGCAGGGCAGCCACCAGCTTTCCCAGTGCCAGGCTTCCCTGCAACAGGCAGTGTAGCGTGAGTAGCAGGTAAGGACCTGGGTTCTTCCCTTGACCGATTATAATCCCTGGCAAGTGACTTAACCTCTCCGTGTCTCAGTTTCCTCACTCTAAAAGGGGCATCAGCAGAGCCTCCCTGCCTCACAGGGTGCAGAGGAGGTTCAAGGCGGGCGCCTCTGTGAAGACTTTTGAACAGAGCCTGGCACTTAGTAAGCTTTCAGGACGTTCCCAATGAGACCAACGGGCCTTAGAAACGGCCCGCGGAGTTAAGCAGCTTTGAAGCTGCACAGATCAGAATCACCTGGGGCATCCTTTCAACCTCCCCAACCGAGGCCACGCCCCCGACCAATTAAATCCCAATCACTGGGGAGTGGTCTCGGCGTCAGTATTTTCTGGAAGTTTCCAAGGCGCAGCCGAGCTTGGGAACGATACGCACCTAGAACCCTGTGTGCCTGAGGCCTGAGCTGGCAGAGGTGACCTTGAAAAGACACAGACAGGCAACCATTTTGTAGCTGGAGGTGAAGCCAGATGGGACGGGGGTGCGGGGGTGGAAGGATGTGTGGCCTCGGGGCCCAGCCGGGGGCCACTGCAGCTCCCGGGGGGGTCTTCGGGGCCAGGCGGCCACGGGCGCCCCGACCTCCGGCTGGGAGGGAGCCGGCTGCCTGGCCCCGCGGAGGACTCCCGAGCAGGAGGCCGCAGCAGCCGCTCTGAGCCCGTCTTGGGCGCCAGAGGGAGCTCGTGGGGACGCGCCACGGCTCCATCCCCACAGCTGGTTCAAACTGGTTTGGGCAGGGTGCGGCCCAGGCGGGCTGCATTCCAGGCCTCGGGCTTGCCGCCTGCCCCAGGGTCACCCCAAGCGCCTGTGAGCGGCCGGGGAGGCTGTTTAAAAATTCATCTTCTTTGTTTAAAATCATTAATTCGGCCTCCCACGGGGGTCCCTGGCTACAGCCAGCTGGACTAACCGGAGAGGGGCTCTTCTCAGCCTGCGGGGTGCTGCGTGCATCACAGTCAACGGCAGAGCTTTAAAAGCTGTTCCCAGCTCCCCTTCGCCCCAAAGACTGCGATTCCGAAAGGTGGGGGTGGGCTTCCGGGCATCTGTGTTCTAAGCAAAATGTTTCTAAGGCATCATTACATTTAGAAAAAAAGACTAGAAACAAAATGACTCTTGGCTGGCCAGCGTGGCCCAGGGTATGAATCGCGGAGAGGCTGGTGAAGAGCGAAGATCTCTTTTCCAGACCCCACATCTCCAGGGAAAGGGGGTCGGGGCAGCACTTTTAGCTAATATCCCAGGGTTTTGTTGGTTTTTGTTTTTTTCCCAGTGAGTCATATTGGGCATTTTAAAAGTTTAAATACTATAACAAACATCAACAGAAGAAATAAAACGTTACAAATGTAATTGAAACCCCTCCTGTATCCCTCCCCCATTTCCTCTCCCCCACCCCAGAGTAACCAGTTTCCTGAATGCGGTATACGTCACTCCCATGCCCGGCTTTACACTTTTACTCCATATGTCTGTATCCATAAACAATATATAGTGCGGTTTCACATGTGTTAAAACCTTTATGTTAATGGCAGCGTGCCCTACAGAGCCTTCACGATTTGCCTTTTTTTCTTAGCATTATGTTTCTGAAATTCGTCCGTCAGGGGAAGTTTGCTGTGCTCAGGACTGTGGCTAATCTGAGGCCGGTTCTGGGCTTTTCCGAGGGAGGGCCCCAGTCAGCCGGTAAGGGTGAGGGTCGGAGCTGGGTTTCTGGGTGCGTGTGGGATACAGAAGGGCTCTGAGCATCAGACGCATCAGCATAGTAATGAATGGCCACGTGCGGGTTCAGTGAGTTCCTATTAAATCCTTTTCCTTAGCACCTGAGGCCCAAGTCTTTGCCAAGAATTTTCCAGAAAATTACTCTGGCCTGAAGGCCTGAATGTTTGGGCGGCGATGTCGAGAAATTAGCAGTGGGAAGCTGTGGAAGTGGGAACTGTACAGTGATGGATTACCCAAAAGACAGATCATGTGCTCACGCCCCCTACCTAAGGTTGTCAGATAAAATATAAATTAAGATTTAACAGGACGAGGGTGAGGGGAGTCCTGTATATTTATTTGCAGCCCTAAGCGCAGCCCGATTTTTAAAAACGAATTTAACATTTTAAAAGACATCATAGGAAAAATGAGACCGCTAGACTTCCCTATACCTCGTTACCTTTTTTAGAACTCTCCTCACTAGCATTGCTTTGGACCCCACCCTCTTCAGCCTCCAAGGGGTCTAGACTAGCCTCCTAGGGGTGCGGGGCTGTGTCCAATTTAGTGCGCTGTAGAATTCCCTGGGGAGCTTATTTTAAAAGCTGCTCCTGGGAGGAAGCGGATCGCTACGCCCGACTTCCCTAATTTTTCGGACTGTCCGCCTGGCGCAAACAAGATGCTGTCCTAGGAGAGGCCTTGTGGGCGGGGTGATGGCGGGGAGGGGTGGTCTTTAAATGAAAGGATCCTCTAAGATATCTGTTCTCTATCCTGAATGCACGCTGGAACCACCCGGGGAGCTTTACAAACAACTGATGCCCAAGCCCCACCCCCAGGGATTCCGGCTGAATCGGCCTGGGGTGAGGCCTGGCTTCCGGGCTTTTAGAAACTCCCCGGGGCATTCTAAAGTGCTGTGGGAGCTGGAACCGCTGCTCCACCGGATTCGAATGAAAAGGGGTGGTCTATGCCGATGGTTCTCAAACTTGGCTCTATGTAAGAATCACCTGGCGAACATAAAAAGTACTGATGCCCAGGTTCCAACCCTAAAGGTTGTGTGTGGCCGTCAGACTTCGGAAGTTTTGAAGGAGCCCCAGGTGATTGCAATCTGAAAGCGAGTTTGAGAACCGTTTACCAGGTGGTGCGGGGGCCGGGCGTAGTGAGCGTCGCGCGCCACTGGGTGGCGCTGCCCGCTCGGCCCGGCGTTCCGGGAGGCGTGGGCCGCGGCCACTGGGTGCGCACCTGCCCCGCCTCCGCCAGGCGGGCCAAGGGGCATGCAGCCGGTCGGGGGCGGGGCTCCGAGGCCAGGACGCGGCGTCGGGTTCCCGGGCAGCCGCCGCCAACTGGACTCTGCCGCGCTCCTCATGCTGCTCGTGGACGCCGATCGGCCGGAGCCCGTGCGCAGCGGGGCGCGCGAGCTCGCGCTCTTCCTGACCCCCGAGCCCGGGGCCGAGGTAGGGGACGGGGTTGGAAGTGGGGGAGGCGGGTCTTGGGGTTGCAGGATCCAGGGCTCGCGCTCCCCCGGGGGGGAGTGGACGAATGGAGACCCCTTGCGCGCTGGACCCGGACCCTCGGCTTCCCCGCAGCATTCTCTCGTACCTGGCGCTGGGGCTCCGGACCCGCGCTGGGGGTCCGAGGGGTCCCTCCTTTGCGGAGCGGTGGCTGTCTGGCGTCGCTCAGAGATGCGCGTCAGGTCGCGCCCGCCCTCTCCTCCAGCCCCGGTTCTCGGGGGCCCAGACAAGCTTCCCATCCCTACCTGAGACCGCACCCCCACCCCCAGCATCCTCCGGGATGCCAGACTGAGGCGCGCTCGGAGCTGCTGCCCTTTGCCAGCCTGGGCCCCGGGGGAGGCTGACTCCCGGTCCTGCCCCTGCCCGGGCGCTCGGCCTGCTCTGCTCTGAGCTAATGCTACATGCCGGGAGGAGGCGGGCAGGCTGCGTCTGTGCGAGGATGCTGCCGGCCTCGGTACGCTTCTGTTGCTAGGAGGGAAAATACCTCATCTCTGGCTGTACTTTCTATTTTAAAAGCACAGAACAAAAAGTAGATCTAAAACTAGCCTCTTTATCTTCCAGCTGAAGCCAGTATGTTGACAGTGCCATGAAAGTTATTTACCGAAGTTCACCAGGAGTTATGTAGGGCCAGAAAGTCAAGCCATTCTCTCTTTAAATCTCAGAAGCAGTACAGAAGTATTTAAAATAAAGGGTAAGCACCCTCTCCTTTTTCTCTCTCACCTCAATTCTAGTTCCCAGAGATAACCATCTTTCACAGTTTGGTGTACATCATTCCAAACACATTAAAAATGCATTTACAAATGTAGGTATGCATATATACTAATAATTATACATAATTAGTTTTTACCAAAAAAAACCCACGTGATACTAGAATAATGTTCTGTAACTTGCTTTTCTTTATTCAAAATAGCATGGACAAATGGAGAGTGACTTAATGGTAAGGTATAGGGCTTCTTTTCAGAGTGATGAAATAGTTCTGGAATTAGTGCTGATGGTTGCAAAACTTTGTGAATTCACTGAAAACCACAGAATCGTACACCTTAAAAGAGTAAATTTTATGGTATGTGAGTTATATCTCAATTTAAAAAAATAGTATGGACATATTTCCATGTCAGAGTGTATCTATAAGAGCTGTCCAATTGAAATATAATTTGAGCCAAAGATGTGAGCTGTCCATGTAATTTTCTTTTTATTTTTATTGTTTTGGCCACGCCACGTGGCATCTGGGGTCTTAGTTCCCCGACCAGGGATTGAACCCATGCCCCCTGCATTGGGAGCTTGGAGTCTTAACCACTGGACCGCCAGAGAAGTCCCCCATCCATGTAATTTTAAACGTTCTAGGAGCCATATAAAAAAGGAAAAAGAAACAGATGAAACTAGTTTCAATATATTTAATTTTTTCCAGTTTTATTGATATTAATTGACATTAAACACTATAAGATTTAGATCTACAAGTTTCAATGTATTTAAAATAAGTGTCTCCAAAATATCCTTTCAGCATGTCATCAGCGTAAAAAAATTTAAGGAGATTTTTACATTCTTTGAAGTAAGTTTTCTTTTTTTATATAGTGATTCCTTCTTTTTTATATATATAAATTTATTTATTTTTGGCTGCATTGGGTCTTTGTTGCTGCGTGCAGGCCTTTTCTAGTTATGGCGAGCGGGGGCTACTCTTCGCTGCTGTGCATGTGCGGGCTTGTCATCGCGGTGGCTTCTTTTGTTGCGGAGCACGGGCTCTAGGCACAGGGGCTTCAGTCGTTGTGGCATGCGGGCTCAGTAGTTGTGGCTTGCAGGCTCTAGAGCGCAGGCTCAGTAGTTGTGGTGCACGGGCTTAGTTGCTCCGCAGCATGTGGGATCTTCCCGGACCAGGGCTCGAACCCGTGTCCCCTGTACTGGCAGGCGCATTCTTAACCACTGCGCCACCAGGGAAGCCCTGAAGTAAGTTTTCAAAATCAGGCTTGGACGATTGAACTTACAGCACATCTCAGTGTGGACCAGCCACGTTTTAAGCACTTGATAGTCATGAGACGCTGGCGGCTTCTGCATCAGAGAGTGTAGGTCTTCATCATTCCTTGGCTTCCTCGTGTCCCACCATCTCAGAATAATTCCTCCTATTTTCTGAGCACATACTATGTGCCAGCAGCGTGCTGCACTCTGTCCATGGATTATGTCATTGCATCCTGGCAGTGACCCAGTGGCTAGGATGTTATGTCGACTTCATAACTGAAAACTGAGGCCCTCACTGAATAAGCAACATCCTATGAATGTCCTGTAATTTCTGAACCACACCCCCAGGGATGGGCATTTAGGTTGGGTACCTGCTTAAGGGTTTAAGTAACCTGAGCAGCTTTCGTGTTCTTTCTCCCCCTTGCTCTCAGCAGCAAGGTGTCACTGTGTCCAGCGGCTCAACCCAGCCTCATCTTGTCTCGACTAGGGACAGCCTTCAGGAGAAGCTGCATGTATTAACTTCATTTGCTCACTCAGGGCTCTCTCTAACTCAGACGCAGGCTGGCTCACGCTCGTTTGTAATGGCCGTAATGAAGAGCCGAACTCCCTGTAGCTCCACGCGGCAATAAAGCCACTTAGAGCTCTTGCTGAAGTTTATTTACCCAAAGAAGCAAAAACTGCCAGGGTGGAGTCGCTTGCAGCCTCTACTTAAAGCTTAATTCATTAGCAGTCCCTCGCACTGAAGCTGTTTGCAGATGGGCAAATGAACTGGAAAGGGAAAGTCTGGTTTGGGAACAGGTCTGGGCAGCCAGTGCCTCCTGTACCAGCCCCTGTCCTAGGGCCACTTTGGGCTTTTAAATGGAGCAGTAGGAGTCTCAGACCAGCCAGCTCCAGTCCTAGGGGTGTCCTGGGGTTCTTAGGGAAGTGGGCCTTCCTCCTTCAACACCTTGAACCCCTGCCGTGTGCGGGGAGTGAAACACACAAGGGCTCCCACTCTCATGGCCCGACTGTCAGACAGTAAACACATAACATACAAAACCTCTAAATTGTGATGAATGCCATGGAGAACATGGGCATGGGTGATGTGATAGAGGGTGTCTTTGTGTCTGGGAGACATGGGGTGGGGAAGGCCTCTCCAAGAAAGCTTGAGACCCATGCGGTAACCCCTTAGGAATGGGCAGGGAAGAGGAAGCACAGAGGTCCAGGAGGGCAATTAGCAGAGGGACCCCACTTTGTCTGGGAGTGTTCAGGGAGGGCTTCCCTGAGGCAGCATCATTTTAGGCTGAGCTCTGAAGCATGAATAGAAGTTGACCAGGATGAGAGGTAGGAGGAAAACATCCCAGGCAGAGCAAACAACTGGCAAAGATCCTGGGGTGGGATGAAGCAGGGTGATCACCAGGATAGAAGAGCAAGCCGCAGGGAGAAGGGGGAGCTGTGGGAGGCGGGGCTGGTGAGGGGGCAGAAACCGTGTTGGGACTTTGCACTGTCTCCCCAGATCGAGGAGCCGCTGAAGGGCGGCATGTTGAGATGAGTCGGCAGGTGAGCATTTTACTATTTCTAAAACCTTTGGGTTTTTCTGTCCAACCAGCTTCTTGTGTTTTACTTTCTCTCTTTTTCTGGTTTGAACTTCCTCTTTTAGGGGAAGTTTCAGGCAGGATCTCCGGAAGCTGCTTCAAGATGGCAGGGAGAGAGGGAGAGAGAGAGGGAGAGAGAGAGAGAGAGAGAGAGAGATGTTTGCCTCTTGGATGCCCTGTGATTTAGCGGGGAGGGGAGTTCAGGGCCCTCCCGAATGGCTGACTCCTGATACCCACCCAAGGGTGAATTCCTGACCAGACTCTGAGAATTCCATTTGGTTCCTGTGCTGGAACACGGGACAGATTTGCCCACAGATGGGGTTAATGGCCTACATGGAAGGAAATAAAGGAAGCCAGCACTTTCTCACACCTAGGGACTTTGCTTGAGTGGGCAGAGGATGATGGGGGAAAGCGCCTGTTAACCACATGTGGATTAGATCAGGGGTTGCAAACTGGTGGCCCAGAGGCTGAATCCAGTACTCTGATATGATGGGTTCAATTCACATAGGGGTTTTTAAATGGAGAATTTTCATGAAGAAAATCTGAGTTTCTTGTTTATTTAAAATATGGACAGTCTGGTAATCCTAGGTCCCTGTTTCCTAGTTGTGGTCTCCTGTTTGCCACAGTCCCCACTCCTCCTCATTGTCTCCCTCATACCGAAGTTGGTATCAGTTACCATTTACCCTTGTGCTTGAACCTTTGAATTTTCTGTAGTCATTATAAGAGGAAAGGGAACTATTTCTCCAAACCGTGTGTCTGGACTGAAATGGGAAAACATAAATTAGCCAAAAATGCCCTTGAGTTTCAAGAAAAAATGTAGAAGAGACTGTTTCTTTGGGGAAGTAAAGAATATTTTATTGTGTCCAACCTGCAAACACCCTGTGCCTATGGGAACCCTGGCATGTGTCTTATTCTTGTGACCTACTGGTCCCCTTTCGGGATTCAAATTTGGATGTTCAGATTAGAAGTCTGTGGGTGGGTGCCAGGGCACAGTCTACTCTGTCTAGAGATGTAGTTCTATATTAATTTATTCCTCAGATCTTTTTTTAAAAATAAGTTTATTTTATTTATTTATTTTTGGCTGTGTTGGGTCTTTGTTTCTGTGCGAGGGCTTTCTCTAGTTGTGGCAAGCGGGGGCCACTCCTCATTGCGGTGCGCGGGCCTCTCACTGCTGCGGCCTCTCTCGTTGCGGAGCCCAGGCTTCAGATGCGCAGGCTCAGCACTTGTGGCTCACGGGCTTAGTTGCTTCACGGCATGTGGGATCCCCCCAGATCAGGGCTCGAACCTGCGTCCCCCGCATTGGCAGGCAGATTCTTTTTTTCTTTTTTTGCCGTACGCGGGCCACTCACTGTTGTGGCCTCTCCCGTTGCGGAGCACAGGCTCCGGACGCGCAGGCTCAGCGGCCATGGCTCACGGGCCCAACTGCTCCGCGGCATGTGGGATCTTCCTGGACCGGGGCACGAACCCGTGTCCCCTGCATCGGCAGGCAGACTCTCAACCACTGCGCCACCAGGGAAGCCCCAGGTAGATTCTTAACCACTGTGCCACCGGAGAAGCCCCCTCAGATCTTTATGGAAGACCTGCTGTGTGCCAGGCACTGTGCCGGGCACCGGGGAGAGGCCAGTGAGACAGAGGCGATGCCTGCCCTCCAGGTGTGGCACTGCAGTCAGGAAGATGAGCCCACTAGGAGTTACCCAACAGAGTAACTAACGGTAATAAATGCCACGAGGGAGACACCTGAGGGGCTGTGATAGAGACACACAGGAAGATTGGAAGGAACCACCAGGCAAAGATCTGGCATCATGTGTGTCGCTGGAGACAGGGAAAAATGAGGTCTCCAGAGGTGCCTGAGTGGGTGGACCTCAGTGATAAAGGGGAGAGGGGGCAGGGCCAGACCAGGGCGTGGGGTCAAGGGGAGGAGTCTGGATTCGATTCTGGGGTGTCATGGATAGAAGCTGTGAGCAGGGCCAAGCTGGGTGTGAGCAGCGGAAAGACGGGATCAGATTTGTGGACTTAGGGCTGCAGTGCCGGAACGCGTCGGAGGGGCTGGCGTGGCAGCAGGGGGACCACAGATGTGGATGTCCCGGTGGACATACACCGAGCTGGCCAGGCTCCCTGAATCAGAACCTTCGGGGGTGTGAGAGCCAAGGCCAAGGTGGGCGCTTGGAGAGGGGCAGCATTTCTCGGAAGAAAGTTCCTATATTTCTCCCCGCAGAACTGCCCAGCAGTGGAAGGACCTGTCCCTGGCTCTGAACAATCTCTTATCACAGGACAGCTGGGCTTTGGGGGAGGGTCACCTTGGAACCTTGGCTAGAAGTTCCCAGTCTGGCTGACTCTCAGCACGAACCGAGAAGCTTTGAAACAGGTTGCCAAAGACGGGAAGTGACCCTGGTGCCAACCAGCCCAGGCTGGTCATGTAGCGATGCTCCCGTGCAGCGGACAGCCCGCGGCTGCAGCGAGTCAGCTCTGAACATGCCATTCCGGCACCGGGGAGAAAAGCAAGACGCACAGAGGTGTGTGCAGTGTAAGTAAAAACTTTAAAGGCAAAAAACACCTATTTCATGCATCTATAAATAGGAGATCCAGTTACATCAATCGCTGGGGTGGGGTGTGGTAGGTGGAGCATAGCCAAGGTGAGAGCACCGGTGTAGGGCGTGGTCCCCAACCTTTGCCAAACATCTGCATCATCTGAGATCAACAACAAAAAGTGCTGATGCCCGGCTCCCACCCCCAGATACTCTGATTTCGTTGGTGTGGGTGCCACCTGGGCATTGGAACGCTGAAAGCCCTCCAGCAGGGTTGTAAGCCTGGAGTGGCCAAGACTGATTAGTCTGTTGGACAATCACCACGACTGCTAACTGTTGGAGGCACCCCAGGCCTGGGGATCTGGACTTGTAAGCGCCCCTCCGGAGATTTTGATGGCCAGCCTGCTGGGGGCTCACAGCTTCCGTCAGTGCTAGCGGGACTGGCCCCATGCCCAGGAATGCCTGCTTCCAGCCGCCGCAGGAGGACAGAAAACCCGTCGGTCCTGCCTGCTGCTGTGTCTACCGCACCAGCTACTGCTGCCTCACGTATCAGTTGAAGAAGCATCCTTTACAGATGCGTGCCTCCCCCCAACCTGCTTGCTCCTGGTCAGGCTGAGTGGAGGGAGGACCAGCTCTGGAGCCACATGGCCTGGGTTCAGATCTCGGCTTTGCGCTCATGCTTCTCTCTGCCTTTTCTCCTGCAGTTGTGGGGTTGGATGAGATGATTCACGGGCAACACTTGGCTCAGGGTCAGGCCCACAGTGAGCGATCTGGTGCATTAGCTACAATTATTCACTTAGTCATTCTATAGCTGTCTATGGAGCAGGTACCAGGTGCGGACCCCATGTCAGGAGCTGGAAAGCAAAAGTGCAGGAGAGGCCCACCGCCCTCAGGGCTCTCAGAACAGGTGGGAGGGTGGACGTGACACACGTTAATATTTCCACACAGTGTTTGCAAGGGGGTGATTTCAGCCCTTCGCTTGTGCAGAAGATGGTGAATTTTCTCTCACTAGCGCGACCTCGTGTAAGCCTGGAAGTCCAATGTTAACTTTCTGTATCTGTGTACGTGAGACCAACCATAGATTCCAGTTTTTGGTTTGCAAAGCATAGTTGCTGCATCCACGGTCAGCATGAGCCCCCGGTTCTCTTAAGCTATCTCGGGATCTGAATTTTTTCCTTGGTGCAAGTGTGATGGAAATTTGGCCTGTGGTTCTTTTAAGTGAATTGGAGTTGGTTTTAAAATAAGTTTGTTTTAAAAATAAAAAATATATGCACATGTTACAAAATCCAAAGGTCCCCCTGACCATGGAATGCTGAGTGAGGCCCTGCCTCCCCCGGTTCTCAGCCCCTGCTGCTCTACAGAGGCCGCTGCAGGCCATGCCTGTGTCCCCTGTCGTCCCCACCTGCCGCCTCC